GGAAAATAAAAAATTGGGGGTGGGGGGGGTGGGGAAGGAGAGGAATGGCTGTAGGGTTTTGTTTGGAAGGATGCTAACTTGTTCAGAAAACAGACAAAAATAAGCTAGAATGGTAGAGGGCTAATGAGGAGTAGCCTGATTAGTTTGCCTTCTGGTAAATGGATATTTTGCGCCTGGCCATGCCTGTCAGGGCAACCATTTTGTGAATAAGCATGCCCTTCTTCCCATGGCTGCCATTTTGAAGAACATCCCTGGAATGCTCACAAAGGCCAGATGCCCATCAGCTGAAAAATATTGATTATACAATAAAGGGGTAAGCAAACAGTCTGCGATGAAATGCAAAAGTAGATTAATATTCTTTTGGAAAGGAGGATAGTTCCACATTGACTTGTAGGCAGCAAGACAGAAAAGGAGAACAGTGATTTAATGCTGTATCCTAGAGGTTGCCTCATAGTAATAACAATAAATTTGCACACCACCCGACTCCCAGCAACTCTGGGCAGTTCAGAAGTACAAAACACAGAAAAAACAATGAAACAATACATCAGTAAAAACAAGGAACAAAAGATGGCAAAAACTGGGCAACTTCAAGAAACAGACCCACACTACATAGAAGGGGGCTTAACTCAGCTTTGCCAAAGGCCTGGGTGAAGAGCTAGGTCTTCAAAGTCCTTTGAAACACCAGCAGGGCGTGGGCTCTCTAGTTCTCAGGGGGAGCCTCATTCCAGAACGCAGGTGCTGTGACAGAGCAGGCATGCTTCCAGGGTCCTGATAGATAACATTGTTTAATCAAAGGGGTCCAGAGTGTACCAACCTTGCCAGATTGAATTGACTGGGCAGATGCTATGGGAGATAGGTGGTCCTTTGAGGTCCTATGTCATGTAGAACTTTATAGATTACAACCAGCACCTTGAATCACAATTGGATGCAAACTGGCAACCAGTGCAGCTTATCAAAAAGGCGTATTAAATGCCCATACCAAAGCATGCCCATCACTGTCCATGCTGCTGCATTCTGACTACCTGAAGCTTCTGGGTGGTCTTCAAGGACAGCCCCATGTAGAATGTATTGCAGTAGTCAAGTTGTAGCTTTTGGAAATATTTAAGAAAATCACCAAAGGGGGGGTGGGGCTATACTATGTTTCAAATTCTGTTGTAAATAGTGTATATGTTTTTAGCATATTAAAGAATGGGAGTGCAATTTTTAATGGCTTTCCAAAATGCTTGGCATTGTTGGCATCCTAAACATTCTAATAGAAATCGAAAGCAGTTGTGCTTTAGGACTAAGTTTGGTTCCTATGCTGGCACCTGTTTGACATCAATGTCGGTAGCAGACTTCGCAGTTAAGTCCTGCTATATGGATTTTTCATTCTCAGCTGTTCTCTGAATAAAAAAAAAAACACTTTGTGGTTTCCTGTGTATGTGAAAGTTTTCAAAACACAGTGGAAGCATCTCAAGATTCATCTCAGAGCCAAGCTATGTAAGACCTAAAAGAAGGAAACCACAAATCATGACAAATGCCAACTCACAGAGCTGCATCTTTCCCTCCTTCCTTTCTTCCTTCAGTCCCCAGCATCAGCAGACGCTAATGCTAAGCCCATCTGCCTTCTCCTGATCCCCTTCCCAGCACCTTCCCAGCCTGAGATGATTGCAGGTGATCAGAGCAATGGCAGTGATGAGTCACAGAGATAGCTCGTGCCTTGAGCGCTTCCTGGAAGGCAATGGGCATGATTCTCATTCTGAGGCATGGAAAGGGAAGGATGCTGCCACAGCTGGAAGCACAGAGATAGTTGGACAGGAGGGGAGGAAGAGAGAAAGACACCAACTCTGGAAAAAGTCAGGGGATCACCTGTATGGCACTGTGCTTCAGAACTGCTTTTTAAATGTAGAAGCATATGTAAGAGATGTCTTCTTTTTTCTTCAGCACTTCTGAGTTCTAAGAAGCATTTAATTCAGTATTTATTTTTAATCTATACTCAGGTTATTCAGTACTCAGCACACAAGCTCTCCCGCTACCACTGCTAGTACATGCAAAGGGACTCTTACAGTTTCAAACAGCTTGGTATAGAAAAGGTGGGGATAAAGGATAGATGGCAGCCATACAGCATTGATTCGTTCTGAAAAGTAGTGGAAAAGGGAGATCAACATGTAGCATTTTAAGTTCTTGTCTGCTACAAAAAGCTTTTCTGTGCTTGAAGGTGGGCTTTTCACTGACCTTGCCCAGGTCTTAAACTTCAGAAGCTCTACCTCACAAAGAGAATGCCACACTAGATAAAGACAAACACAAATTTTTAATTGGTTCACAATTGAAAATCCATGGACCATCCTTTATCTGAGATATCCATTGTCAGAGACCATTCTTTATTTATTTCCATGATTGCAACTTCTGGATCATTCATGGCACACAGTGGCCTCCTGATACTATTCTTTCTCAATATTTATTTTTTCCCATGGCTGCTTTTAAAACAATGGCCACGGTTGTTACACACTATCGGATAAAGTAGAATGAATGAATGAATGTGTGTATATATGTATTTTTGTGCGTTTTTGTCTGTGTGTGTGTATATGAGTGTGAGTATGTGTGTATAGATGAAGGAAGGAAGGAAGGAAGGAAGGAAGGAAGGAAGGAAGGAAGGAAGGAAGGAAGGAAGGAAGGAAGGAAGGAAG